GAAATAGCCTTTGGGGATATTATTTAGAAGAGACTTCAGACTTTGATTTCCCAGGCAGAGGAGATGGCAAATCAGCCAATGTGACTCCTCGGTTCCTGAGAAAGAGGCAAACCACATTTTCCTAAAGTTTCCTGTAGCCAAAGCTGTCAAACTCATTCTACTACAGTAAAACAGAGTAAGGCAGGAAAATGGGGAGGTCAGCACAAAAAGCAACGTTGGAAACCCCATGACTCTGTGCTGAACAGCTGAACGTTTCTGAGTTGCTGCCTCAGAAGTGTGAGAATCCCCCTTGGCACCACGTGCCTTTGCTTGGTCCCATGAGAAGGAGAAGGCTCTAATCAGCTTCCCGAGCCCCACGCGGAAAAAAGAGATCACACTGGGTGCAAAAGTTGTTACGCACGTAGTAATAGAATGTACTATATATTGACACAAGCACTGGGCATAAAGAAAAAAAGGAAGTTTGCCCCGGCTATACAACACAACACAGGGAGACTGGCAGAAAGTAAACAAGCCGCGCTGTCGTTCTTTATGCCACGAATTAAAGCCTGAGTTAGGTGAGATGGGTGCCCCAGCCGGGAGCAGGCTGAAGCAGGGGCAGCTCTGGCCCCAGCCCGCCAGCGGCAGCGGGCTGGTGGGGTGGGAAGGAGCAACAGCAGCACCTGGGGCTGTGCGAGCGATGGGAAACGCGAATTAAGCCCGAGACTGATGGGCAGCAGGAACGGGGCCGGGGAGAGACGAGGAAGGAAGAGTGCGGCTAAGGACGGAGGAAGTCTGCTTTGGCAAGGTACACCTGAGACCTCATTTCAGGATGCTGTCTGCTACCACCTGCACAGGCTGTCCTGCAGAAATAACTCACATGTTTAACCTGCATAGCTGAAGAGCTACTCACTTTTTCAGTGTGAATTTGCTCTGTTTCTGCAATATAACTGCCCTTCCCTCTCCCCACAGCTCGCTCTCTCGCCCCCTCAAATTTGGAAGACTTCAAAATAAAGAAATAATCTTCTCCTTGGAAACAGAAATTCATTGTTGCGTTTCTTCCTCAGTATAGTACGCATGGGGGGGAAAACCATTAAATTTCCCCAGCTGTTTGGAAATTTGGTGTGGAAACACGGAGGCACCCATTTTCTCCTCCCCCCTCCACTCCTCAGCTAAGCTGCGGAGCTCGCTGCCGTGACATGTCGTCAAAAGCAAGTATTTGCCAGGATTAAGAATTGAACTGAATATGCAAACGAACACGCGCGCGTGCGCACACACGTGCCAAAATATATTTGCATACATATTTATATATAAACAGTAGCTATTTTTAAAAAGCACAATAACAACATCAAAGAAATCTCAGGAGTCATGGCACTCTTCGTTTGCCGCAGAGGGGCCTTCGCTCACCGTAGACAGACCGGACTCTGCCTGGTCAGCCAGAGGTTTCTCCAGTGGCCTGTGTCAGCTCAAATCTCAAATCCCAAAGAAGCAGCATTGCTGAGGGTGCTAGAAACACAGCAGATGACAACAATAACCTCATGGTTAGTAGTGGAGGAGAAGAGGAATAAGGAAACACAAGCAAAGTATGTGAGTCGCTTTATTAAAAGCATACCCATCGCGCTGCTTCTGCTACTTAGAGTGGCCAATAAATTCCCTCTGTCCTAATACACTCGAAGTGCCAGGATGCATTATTCAGCACATGAGTAATTCACCGCATTCTTTCGGATAATAGTCAGTTGCTGAGCCGGATTCTCTTTCATGAAGGTCAACAGCAACACCACTATTGTAGTTGTAGAGCATGGCAGAACCTCGTGGCACCGTACCGACCAGATTAAAACAAGGATCCGTGCAAGGATCCCGTGTAATGAAGGCCACAAGGTTCCCATGTGGGCAGAGAGGCACTTCTGTGGAGGATCAGGCCCTAAAGTCACATTGAAAACCACAGGAAGGAGTTCGGCACCCAGTCAAGAGGAGGACTAGTTGTTCACGTGGCCACCTGAAAAGCCAGTTGGCCAACTGGAGTTTCCCTCTTCGTGTGGAATGATAATTTGGGTGCTGAAGGATAATTGGAGAGTTGAATTTGATGGTGGCCTCAGTACCTTAGGGAACTCTGCGCCAACTGCTCTAAACGAACCGAGCAGGGGCTACGGTGACGCTACTTTTTCTTGCAGGTTTTGAGATCAGCCATGCAGTGGAACTACTGCATTAATACCACATGTCACGGACATAGCGCTTGCCAGTGAAGAAAGCTCCTCTACCTTCGGTTTTGTAATGTATTCTGGTGCACGGGTCTACTGTGCCTGTCTCTGTTTGGATTAGGTTAAACGCTCCTGAAGTAGATGGGCCTAATTACGGCCTTTCATTCAAGATTAATATGAAGCCATTAAGCTGGTTTATGCAACCAGGTAGCTGAGCAATAGAAACATCTAAAACAAGTATGAGGCAACGTTGGAGGCTGAAACCATGCAATCAGCGGGCTTTCGTTGTGAAAAGGCATGGGAAACGCAGAACCGAGCGCTGCCTTCATCTACGGACGTGAGACAAAACACAGGATGAGAGAAGGTTCACTGCGAAAGACTGGAAGGAGCTACCAAACCCGCCACTGGTCCAACCCCAAATCGGCAGGCTGAGCTAAACAGGGAGGCTTGCGGCTCCGAGCGCCCCGTGCCGCTGCTGTTACTCACTTCACCCTGCGCTCAGCAAAATAAGCTCTGGTAGCTCTTTCGCAGTGACAGCACATGAATAATTGCCCAATTCCTTGCCAGCTTCCCCTCCAAGCAGAAACGCTCCGAAGGAACTCGGGCGTTTTTCCTAATGGCTGGATCAGAACCGGGTAATGCCGCAGCAACGCGTCTGGGAGTTCTCTTCTCCCTGTTCTCCAAAACACTGCTCTGATGTTTGTGGTTGTGCAGTTAGGTGAGACGCAGGCAGATTTTCTTGATAATTAACTAGGCCTCCATTGACTTTGTTAATGCTATCCTAAGTATTTTTTAAAAAGAGGGATTAGCTGTCGTGGGAGAGGCTAATTAAGAGAGAAAAAGAAATTGAAGAAAAATTGAAGTTAGGTTTTAAGGCAAGAACAGAGAAATTCAAGAAAGGATTTAGGAGCTGGAGTTTACAGGGCAACAACTAACTGAATTTTGAATAAATTGATAGTTGATTTAATTGGCTGATTATAATTTAGTAGTATATATTTAAACTGACTCTTTTATTGGTTTTAAGGTAGATTTCTTTTTAAAAAGCTCTGTGTGCCTCTTTTCTTTAAGCTTAGAGGAAAGAACAAGAAGACAGATGTAACCCCCAGATCTGAACATACACATCCACTCAAATTTTACAATTGAGCCATACTCCCATCTCCCAAGAGGAAAGATACTGAAAAGGAGACACTGTTGGGGAGGACGACACACGACTGCATAGCACTACTATGGGACCTTCCTGTCTTTCTAGGGCATGAAAGGACATTTGGGGGAGAAACTTCTATTGGGCAACACTGTAGATGAGCATGAATAGGTTTTACCCATTTTGAAAGTGGGAGAGAATTTGTATACTTCTTCTATGCACCCAACAGGTACCTTTAATTTACAGTCACGCTACTGTGGATGGACAATTGCAGCCATTTTCAGGCTACTGTACATTTCCTTTAACATTCTGATGGCAGAAAAGCACCATCCCTTATCCCTTCACATTTATTATTTTCATCAGGGTAGGATGCAGAAGTGCCAGGTAGCTTCCAAAGCAACAACCCCTGCTGTGAAGAACAGACATTCCTAGCTTAATATTGCTATGATTTCCAGCTCCCAGTGCAAAACCACAGAACTTTCATTGTCAGGAGCTACAGAGAGCGCGCGGCACGCACACACACACATTAGGCACTTTGTTTTATTTTGCAAAAAAAAAAAAAAAAAAGTCTTTATATATAAACCATTTCATTCTCTCTCAAAACATTCTACAACTATACAGCTGTTTGCTCCGTCATTTGCATAGGAAATACCACAATACAAAAATAAGGTAGGGGGGAGGCAAAAGAAGCAAAACAGCAACCAATTTATGCATGTGTTTCCACGTATAAACATTTGAAGCCTTACAAAATTATTTACATCGTTTGTCAACTATTTACATTAAGAGCAACATTTCTAACTATAACAAACAAAACTATAATTTATCAAGTATATGTAAAATTGTCTTAAAAAAAAAAAAAAGTCTATCATATACCACAAATAAATAAAGACAAACAACAGTTTTAACAAAGCTAGGTTTTCCTGCAAGACCCCTTTTTGGTATTTTGATTGTCTATTCTAGCCTTTGGTTGACAGCTTAATGTTACGGCTTGTGAAGTCCAGACACTTATTAGGTTGGTTTGGTTTTCTCCTGTTGTCTGGCCAAATCCTACACGGTCTAACCTCTTCTTTGGCCCTTCATCTACTATTTCAAGGCTGAGCATGGTGGATCAAAGTCATTGTTAGCATAAAAGGGCACCACTTCATTGACTTCAGTGGAGTTTCAGCTACTTTTGTCAGCAGTAAATTTTTCCTTGCATGTGTCAATCTGAACAGTGGATTAACTAAACTGCACTGTAATTTTAAATGAAATTACTGTATCCTTTACCTTCTACTAAATTACATGCAATATCCACGTGAAACTAGATCATACTGGTGCTGAACCAGCTTAACATGTCTGTGTATGAAAATTGCATCCTAAATCCTTCTTTTTAAAGTGATACTAAGTTTAGCTTATAGTAAGAGGTTTAACATTCTGTGTTCTTTGTAACTATCCCCGTTATTTAAGCTTCCCACATTGACTTTACAGTTCGTTCTAGTTGTTTTGCCCTTTTAAGCAATTTGAAAACAAAATCCTGCTTTGAATATTCAGTGCACACTGTTTTGAGTTAACAGGTACAAAATATCTGGATGCTTAGCTCATTTGTCTTAAGAAAAATGAAGCTAAGTTGGTACTGTTTTGAGAGGTATTTAAATAACTTTTTTGTAAATGTGCCATGTTATCAAATGTAAAACAACTGCTTTTTTCAGATGATTCTTAGAAAACTTTTGTATTAAACCTAAAAAGCTGATTTGCATATTTACAAAATCTTTGTCATAGCAAACATGCAACATACAGAACAAAATGTTTTGTTCTATGGCTGTTTATGAATTTTTCTACGTAGTTTTATCTCCACAGAACGACTTAACATTTTAAAAACCCCCACAAGTACTAAGTATGTCCAGTAAAAACCTGACAGATTACAATTCATGGCTTTTCCACTGCGTTCATTCATCTGCAGCCTCTCATTAATTTGTTTACTAAACATTGTCACAATAATGACAGTGCTTTGGTCAAAACACCGCAAGAGAAAAAAAAATTTATAAAGCTGCAATGTGTCAAGACATAATACTTGTAAAGAGATGAAACCTGCCGACTAAAGCCATATACATCATGAAAGCAAACAAACGACCAAACACTCTGGTATTGTGATACAGTGTCTTCCCTTTTTCTGCATAAATATACAAAATATACATTTCCAGTTTCTTTTGAGATTTCTTTTAAATGGCTAGCCCATACTCGAAAAATTAAACTAATTTCAGTTGTATGTCGAGAGTCAATAGGAAATTGCATAGATACAAAACAGCCTCAACGCAAGTCCAGCTTTTAGTTCTGATGCCTCTTCATGTGGAGAGCCAGGTGATCGGAGCGGGAGAAGCTGCGATTGCAGACAGCACACTGGAAGGGCTTTGCCCCCGTGTGCTTCCTGTAGTGGCGTGTTAATTCATCCGAGCGAGCAAATCTCCAGTCGCAGCCTTCCCAGGTGCACTTGTACGGTTTCTCACCTGAAAGAGAGCACAGAGAAATGAGACTGTCAGCTGTCACTCTTTGGGAGAAAACTGATGCGAGATCACATTGAATGGCATTGCTCTTCAATTTAAAGAAGAAATAAATGACAAAACAGAAGCTGACGTTCCCCAATTACTCACAGCTCTATTCAGTATGCCCCAAACTAACAGCTCCTTTGTTTTTTCAGCAATTTTGCTCTTGAATCTGTGATTTAATACCTCGGTAAAACCTAACAAACTTTCAAACATACAAATTGGAGACAGCAATGGTACAGAAATGCAGAGGTAAAAAACCTGCATGAGACTGAAATAGGCTCCCTTACACTCATCTCAGTATGAGGGAGTAGGAAAAAAAGAGCAGTCTCACATGACAATCCGGCCTAGTTTGTAACTTACACTTGCACCTTTTAAAGATGGGTAAATTAAGTTATACAGAGCTTTTTTTAAGAGGTCTGAAATGGGAAGGAAGATTTCTAAAAAGATTCTTTTTAGTGTGCAAATCAGTTCAAGAGCTTCTGATGTGTGAAGAGAGAAGCACAGTGTGTTACAAACACAACGAGGATAGTATTTTCTAAAATGTCAGAGGCAATAAAAACTCGCAGTATCCTGGTTTGGGCTAGCTATATATAGGAGAAAGCACTTAAAAGACCAAAGCACCCGTTTTCAGAATTGAATGTCTGCAGTCAGGTGCTTAGAAAGCTGTATTTTAGAGGTGGGAAGTGTTTGCTGTCTCCATCAGTCTATACTGTCACAGCGGGAGCATGGTGTCTCTGAAAACTTCATGTGTTGCAGAAGCTCTGAATAGAACTTTGAAATATCCAGCTAGTCTTGAATACACTGGCCCAAGCACCCAAAATATCTGCATTCATCCATTTTAGAACTATAAATGGAGTATCTTAAGCATGTCTATAATTTATAGATTTGTTTGTTGAAATGGGAGAAACATGAAGCCACTGGCCACAAAGCCAAGATGGCTTCTGTGTGAAACCAGAACTTTAAGCATGTACATACACCTGCTCAGGAGCTGGTACGGACATGATGTCACCATACAAGCAAGCTTCGTATAAATAAAGAGGCTACGATTACCTATTTATAGGCTGTTGGTTGACAGAAACACCTTTCAGTTGGGAGAGTCGATTGCTATCTATATCCTTTATATTAACTTGACCCATTTGGCAAAACCAAAAAGAAACCAGAGTTTATCAAAGCACTCGGCAGTAGCTTCATCTGGACCAGAATCAGACCAAGGCCAAGATTTCCAAAAAGTCCTTCTGAACACATCTTAAAGATCTTCTCTCTCCATTGGTCTCAGACCTTTACCCTCACAGTCTCAACCCTACAGCACTGTGGAGTGGCTCCTACTTTTCCCTGTTTTACCATCACACAAGCACGCAGGAGGACAGAAGCTAGAATCCTGCTATCAGACTGTTCTGCACCAGTTATGCAGAGCACACCGTTTGAGAAGCTCAAAATCATTACTTCAGAGATGCTAATTTATCATTCAGATGAAATTATGAAACTGGTTTTGTCTGGGAGTTTCTACTGCTTCTTCTGATCAACTAACTAGTAACTTTCCATCCACTGCTAAGAGCAGAATCAGCCCTTTGCTCACAATGGGGACGTGACTTCATGTTGGCAGCAGTGTCACAAGCAGAAGCAGACCTCTACAAGAAAAACTAACCACCCAACCAACCAACCACCTCTTTGCATAAACGACGACTGGGATTTATTGAAATCACAGTGGAAACATATCATCCTTTAAGAAAAACAAACTTAGAGCCTGGCATCACCTCTCACAGAGTTCAAAATTATTTGGTGGATGGCAAATCAGAACACAAATCATTACAACTTTCTATCATAGCTGAATTTACTCTGCCTGATACTGATTGAAGACTGGAATGATCTAATATATATGACTCTTTTTTTTCTCCATGCAACATATACTATCGGTTAAAACACAGATTTCATTCAAACCCAATGCGTAAAGCTTTTCTAACATCCATGAAGCCAGTTGAGATAACACATTTGGTCTTCACAGCAGAATGACAGGAAAGATCGCTATTCAGCGAGGATCTTTTGCACTATATACATCATTTTCAATGTATTTAAACTGGGTTATTAATGCAGTCTGTAAAAGACTGTATTGCTGATCCACAAGCATATCACCAGGGAGATCTTCCGTGAACACTTTGTGTTAAAACACACGTGCACACATGGAGGTTGCACAAAAGCATTACTCCCGCATTTGAAGCACCTTAACTTAAAGCCAGCGTATTTCTTTCTTTTTCTCCTTTCTTTCCCCTCTTCCCCCATATTACCTTCAAACTCTTCTTTAAAAACTTTCACTTAAAACTGTCACGCTAAACTCGCAATCTTGTGATCTGCCCACCCTAACTGCCCAGAGAGAGAGCATGTATATGGTCAGCCCTCTGTATACTCAAACGCCTATCCATTTTGCAGAATTACATGGGCAATGAGAGAAATGGTGAAGAGGCTGGGCAAATAGCACTTATTGAACAAAAGCCTAAGAGTATCCAGACCGAACAAGACCAGAATGTGGACCAGGAGATTGAAATCACAGTTTCCAAACCTGCCACTGAGGAGGTATGAAGTATATGAAACTTCACTGTAAACTACACTGTACTGAAATAGCACTCTCAAAGTTGTCCTGCATACTGACTGTACCTGTACCTGACTCTGTTTGAGTCCAAACAAAACTGCTGCCCCCCATTAAAACTTTTTTCTAACCTGCGAGCAGCATCAGCAGGTGATATGAAGGCTTCTGGCATACGAGCTGCCAGCAGTTGGGGCAGCGGTGAACCTCGTGCCTTGCTGGGTGCTACAGCTTCCAAGTCAACACTGAATCCAATGGCCATCAAACTCCAGGGGACCCAGCTTCCCAGAGACACTATCTAGAAACTTACGCCACTGTTACAGCCACTTCAATGCATGCCACAGCCACGAATCCCCCTCCTGCAACAGCTCAGGGGAAAAGCTAGGCAGCGCCATGCAGAACGGCACTGCTTCTCCTTGCCGGCCAACTTCTGCAGACCTGAGCTAAACGGAGCAGTGCTCAGGGGATGTGCAGAGGGGAACGAGCTGGTGCCTTACACAGATTGTTTTAACAGTGTTACTTTTATGTACTGGAAATTAAAGCCAGAACGCTGCTTTTAACCCCTGCTTTGGCCAACAGTGAGAACTGGAAAATGTATTTTTAGCGCCAATGTAGAGGCCCAGATTATTTTGAATAAATCCTAGGGGTAAAATACTGAATATCTATGTTTGTAATGCTAGTTTCCGTTGGAAAGTTCTATTTAAGAACTGAATCAATTTCAAATGTTTTCCCTTTGGGCAGGGAGGAAGGGGGGCAAGAAAAAGAAGGTGGAGATTATTTTCACTCCTTTAAAGAAAGCAGAGGAACAACTAGCTGCTAGTATTTTCTCTCTCTCAACCTATACACATGCTTTTTGTCATTTAGCAGAAATAAGAATTTGGTTCAAGTTCCTGCAGCAAGGGAAAAAGAGCCTCACGTTACTTATTTTCTGAGGTGATCCTACTCCTTTGCTATGCTGACTTTAAAGCACTGAGAAATCTGGGGTTGAAGATTTATTTTAAAAAAAGCAGGTATACACAACAAGGGACACTGAACCCTTTATCCACTGTTTTCATTGGCTACATAGTAATGTAAGATTTGTTTACTTTAATGATTGTGCGAAATACAGTAGCTGTAAAGTTTCAGAAATACTTGGTTTTCCTCCAGCAATTTAGGGCTTCTATAGGGTGTTAAACCAAGAATGCCACTGGTCATCAAATACGAAGGCAGTACGGCTTGGTTACTGGAACACGATTGTGGTATCAAACAGATATTTCACTGTAAAAGCAAGAAAACAGCTAACTCCTCCACTTCAGGGGAGCTTCCACGGGATTTGTTAGAATGTCAACACTGTTCAACTAAAACACCATGGAGGAAGCTGGTACCGATTTCCAGCCAAATAGCACACTCCAAACCTTTCTTCCCAAGCCAGAAATATTATACACAGCACTTCTGGGAAACAGAACTGCTTTCCTTTAAATTATACTTCAACAGGATAGGGATTTCATAAGTTTAATTGGATTTCTGCATAACCTCCTTCCAGTATCATTGATTTAAAATATTTTGCTAGGCTTATACATCACAAAATATATTTTTAAGTTCTTGAGCTTTTAATAGGTATCCATTCTCCAGTTTAAAAAAAAGTACATTTGTGGAGCATGAGAAACAGACTTGTACTTCAGCACAGAAATTTTAAGCCCTAATGTTTAGTTTGGAAGCTCTTTTACAGACAGCACCTAGCAAGAGATAAGGGAGTTTAACCTGAAAGGAGACTATTTTGCTTGCAATGTATCTGTCTGTTAAAAAAAATGATTTACAATGCTGTGAGATTGCAAGGATGTCAAAAAACTGTCGGGATATCCACATATAACATGCTAACCTAACCAGTCACTTCAACAGATAAAACTATCCCAAGGTAGATCCCAAGGTTTGGGATCCTTGTTGGTACTGCAAGAGAACGGTCTGGACCCGTGAGGCACACTGTGTTGGCTCTTCTCCCTTTAATTTATCTTCTTAGGATTTAGTCATGTCAAAATGCACCGATTGCTTTCCTAACATTAATTCTAGCCACTGGCAGTGACTGTCATGATTCCCTGACATGCTGTAGCCTCAAATTTTTAGAAAAAATAAGAACAAATGAAATGTTTTTTCTCTGTTTTAGTTTGTCTGAAATAGCTTTCCTCTAGTTCATAGCATCATGGTTTTAAACTCTGGTCTCTTCCAGGCTGACTGGAACTGAAAGTGGTTGCTTGGGTGTATGTCTACACTCATTCAAAAGTTTTTAGCTCCCAACGTTTACCTAAAATTAGACCTTCCTTCCGCCATTGACTAAGTGCTGTAGTTGTTGTTACAAGCAGCTTGTTGGTTGGGTTTTTGCCCTTTTTTGAAACAGTGGGGTTTTTTA